ATAGTAAATACTTATTAAATACTCATTGAATGACTTACAACTAATAGTTCTCTCCAGGTCAGATCATCTAATTGAAATTACCCTAGTTTTTCAAAGGTCTTATGCCAACTAAAAATTCATCAATATTAGCATACATACTGAGAAATCACAATTCTCTGATATAAGCCTAATAATATGACTCAAAATTGCTAGTCTCCTGAAATGGGCATTTCATTTCCTACTAGTCTTTGGTCATTAAATGGAAAAAAGCAGCATCCAAAGTATCACACTTTAAATACTCTGACATCAAAGTACTATGTTGCTACCATATTTTTCCCTTTTAGGTTTACCTGGTCTGAGACTTCCTTGAACCCATGTTTTAACATGCCATGCTTTCAGGACATTCCAGAAGGAACATTTCATATTTGATAATATTAATTCAAACCTAAGGTATATTACTTATGACCCACTGGGTAAAAATAGGCCTAGTAAGTGTCAAGAGAATAAAAATATGCCACACAATTCATCGGGATCACTATTTAGTGTTAATAGGTTATAAGAGTTATTGAAGAAAGCATGTGCTTTTTACTCGAGTACAATGTATTCTCTCCTTATTCTACACTGCTACCACAGAAGATAGCTTTGCAATGCCATCATGTTTTAATAAAACTACAATTCTCCAATGTTTGTTATAATGGTTTATATATCAGTCAACAAGTATTTCTTAAGCACTTACTGTACCAGGCATTGTTCTCAGCATGGGGGTTATAAGAAAAACACAAAAACAGTACCTGCCCCTAAAAGCAAAATTGGTCAAGAACAGTGATCTGGAGATTAATGGGAAATAGCCTGGTAGGAATACAGACCTAGGAATCAGACCTCCTTTTTTAGAATATTTAGCTGTCACTTTGGACAAGTCAACCTTAGAGTTATTAGTTTCATAATCTGTGAAATGAAGGTATTAATAGATAATTTATATTTATCAGCAACCTCTAAATCCAAAATCAGGTCATTCCTTACCTTCCAACTTCATTGAGAAGGTATATCATTCAGTTCTGAGTCAACTGGGAAAGCAACATTTTCAAAATCAAAACAATGATTCTCTTTCCTGCCTTGACCTGTTTCATTTTTAGCTTTTAGCTCCCCTCTGTAATTCCTTACTTGTTCCTTTCACACTCTCAGTACCTGGCCCATTAAGCAGATTTTTTTTTTTCCATGCAGGGGAAAAATACCCATGGAACTATGAATGTATACAGGGGGAGGAAATAAAATTAATTTCTTTTTTTGTAACACTCCAAAATGAGCTCTAAAAAGAAATTCACTAGGATTACCTAAACCACCTCAGTCTCTTTTTGTGGCAAAAAAAATTGTAGCTGTTGAAGCAGAAAACTATCCACACCTATCAGGACAAAATGCTTTTGAGAAAATAACCGCAGCAGAGGAGTACAAGTTTGATATATTTACCATAATAAGCTATTTCAGTGTCAATTTAACAAAATACTTTTGAGATGAAAATAACATCCTAAAGGACATCAATCTTAGTGCCTTATTTTCTAACAGAGGCAATCATTGAACTTGGCAATTAAGACTGCAACTATGTGGATATATATAGTTCTTTGCTTACCTCAGAGATGATTATATAAAACCGGAATATGTATCACTCATTTAGGACAGTTTTATCTTCCCTTTCTCCTATAATGTATTAGCACATCCTATATATAATACTCATTTGTTTGGTCAACAGTCACTGATACTTCTATTTTAATCCTCCAAAATGTAAAACAAATTTGTTTCACATTAAGCAAATACCTGTCAAAACACCATTACTAAGGTGAGAGACTTTAGCTAATCACTATATACACAATGTATCTGGGACACTAAAGGTTTATAAAATCAACAGTTGAAGGCAGATTATTTTTGCCCTTAATCATCAAGGAACTTAGATTCAGTCAACAGTCTATTAAATTCAAACCAAAACTCCTTACAAAATTGTGTTGATAGCCCCCAATAACAAATTATTCTAATGACCACAGGGCAATCAATAATACTATGGGTTCAGCTTCTAGATTATCTACTTGCTTTAATTATGGGATCATAGATTTAGAGCTGGAAGAGATTCTGAGGCCATCTAGAGTAACCCCCTCATTTTACAGATAAGGAAACTGGGGCCCAAAAAGGTTGTGACTTTCTCAAGGTCACACAGAAGATAAAGTAACAGAGCTAAAATTTGAACCCAGGTTCTAACTCCTGAGATCCAGCACTCTTTCCACTGCACCATAGTCACAACACTAAAGATTTATAAATGCAGCGCAAATAATAATTCCTGAAATATTGTAGTTGTTTCTGTTTGCAGGAAAGAATACATTTTATAGAAGTGAAACAACATCTCACAATCAAAAATTTTCAACTTGTGTGTTTACTACAATCAAAAAGCATTGAGTTCTCCTGGAAGTTACTTAAATTATCCAGCAGAAAATCTAGTTTTCATAGTTTGTGCATAAATAACTGTAAGCTTAAGGAAACTGATTAACTGATCACATCCAGAGGAGTAACTACCAATAGGCAGCACATTAAATGTGTAATAATAGTAAGAAAATGTTTCAAATTGGGTTATTTAGAAATCCACAAAAATAATTAAAATATCTAATTCTGTCATCCTATAGGCATTAAAAGTCTTTTAAAGTGTCAATTCCTCTATCATTTAAAATTACATAATGCACCTGTTAAAAACAACAGCTAAAAACTAATCACATAAAAAACTATTATTGCCTTTGTATGAAGCAACTTGGAAAACATGGTATATAACTTGCTCTGATACATAGGCAAGTGAAATTTCCCTAACAGGGCAAACCTGAAAAAGGAGAAAACAATTAACAAAGATAAATGGGCACGAATGGAGAATAACAAAAGAGAGGGAGCTGAGTCACCAGCATTTAAAAAAAAAAAAGCCCCAAATGGGCAATAATATTGGGCAAAGTACCAAACAGACCAGGAGACTAAATTTAAATACCTCCTTGTGAAAATTTAAGCATGTGACGAAAAATTAAGATTTATCAATGAGAATTAAAACTCATACCTTTATAAGCTAACAAACCTAAAAATATACTGGACCCTTCTTTGTACTACACAAGATCCAATTTTAAGGACTATGTATTGAATAATGTCTTATCGTGAGCTTATTAAAAAATATTCTGTGGCAGGGCACATGAGAAATTAAATTTTTGATCTGTTACTATCTCTAAGTACTATATAGAAAATACTCATTTTCTAATATTCTGAAATTTATTTTCAAAGCTTTTTGAGAAACACACACAAATAATTCAGATTTAGTCAATTTTATTTACATTTTTTGTACATATCAGAGCATTACACAATTACATTTTCTTACTTTCTGACCTGCAAACAGATACCTTAAACGGAAATATTTTTTTCAAAATTATGAAATTAGGTACATCCAAAATGCAACAATTACACATGACAAGTAATTCACAAAGTGTAATTTACTAGGACGTATCCTAAAAATTTAGGAACAACCAGTCAGGAGAAAATCTGACCAATTTAGCAATCAATTATTTACATTTTTCAAAACAAACCTCTCTCTTTATCTAAACTCCCAAGTCAGAACCTTGGAAGATTTTTTTTTAATGGAAGAAAAACAGGAAGTTATGATTCACAACTATGCAGCATTGACAGCCCTTGATCCCAAACTCTTGAGCAATTTTGCAGCCTGCCTCTTGAACAGTGAGCATCCATCCCTATTTCAGCTTGTCAAAAACTGAAGTGTCAAACTTATGCCCTTGTGTGCATAGAAAGGCTTATGTGTTCTTTAATTTATAAAAAAATAAAAATAAAAACAAGTGGTCACTAAAATCCCAAACGTTCCTACTGGACCACCCCCCTCACAGCTATTACCCACATCTGTAACCTGTGTCACATAGTAATAGGCTACATATTTGGAAGAAACCGATGCATATTCCCTGCAAAAAAATGCCTTTCAATTGAGGCTATGGCTCCTATGCCTTGGGGTAAGGTTGAGGAATTTTAAAATGCAAGACTTTACTTAAAAATATTGCTAAACTTCTCATGTTAAGAAAAAAATTTGATTGCATGTTCAATTGGTTTCATTTGCCTGTCAAGAAAGTTATCATGAGATCAATTTTAGTATTAAAAAAAGCAGCCAACTGAGTGCAATTTTTCTCTTCCTGGTTTTGGCCAAGTCTACTTTGTGTAAGATATTTCTAACTAGCCTAATAAAATTTTGTGGAGCCTCCAAACTTTTCTTGCCTACCTTACTGTCCATGTTCACGTTTCAAATTGTGTCAACAGGGCCCGCACTTCGGGAGTCAGCTGCTTTGCAGCCTTAGCTGCCTCTGTGATAGCCTTGCGATACAAGCCCTTTCTCTTCTTATTAAAGCGTGACTGGAAGTTTTCTAAAAAGGGGGACAGTTGCGATAGTGCAAGGAAAGATGTTGTTGGAGACCCAAACCATGAAATACGGGCCTCCTGTCGGACTAAAAGGCCGTTATCTTTCCGGCTTACAGTTATAGTAAGAATACGGGCTGGCCACCATGGGAAGCCATAAATCTTGGCCCAAACAATGTCCCCTACACATATGGTCCTGCCATCTGGTGTGATGCATTTAGAGACGTTTTTGGAAAAGACTTTCATTTTCAAGGAATTACTGAGCTTTTTCTCTTCCTTTGAAGAGGATGAAGTGGAAGAGGTGGAAGGTGCATGCATACTGCCTGGAGGAAAATCAAAGCTTTCAGTAGAACTACACTCTGAATTGGAAGATTTCAAATCATCTGTGCTATCAATGCTACACACTGATGCACTGGAAGAGTCAGATTTCTTTTGATTTAGGGTCATGTAAACAGTGATATTGCTTTTGCTGCCCTTTTTGCCCAATGTCTGCTGTTCATCCTGCTCATCAGGCACATGTACTTCACTTGTGTCCTGAACCTCACTGTTGGCCTCTTCAGGACCTTTTGAGGGATTCTGATTTTCTGAAGGGGCCTCACCTGCTGAGCGGGTAGAGGTGCAGCGAGACTGGGGTTTGGGTGCCATCTTGCCACTCCGCATTTTCTCAAGTCCGGCCTTCATGGAAGAGTCGTTTTCTTCATTCCTGTATCTTTGTGGCTTCAAACGCAACCGGGGTGGAAGGGAACCTGAGCTGGTGTTCTGAAATCGACGGGTGAAGTGAACCTTAGAATGTGCATTTTTGGAAGTGGAAGTTTCACTCTGTTTCTTTTGTGCCTTTTCTTTGGCCATTTTCAACACTTCCCGAGCTTTTGCATGATCCATGTTCTTACTCTGGAGCACTTTTTTAGTACTTAACTGAGCTTTTGAAGTATTTGCCTGAGCAGACACTTTAACTACTCTGCCTCTGCTGTGAGCAATATTTGAAACTTTGACCACAGCATTTCTTTTCTGGCTTTCATTTTGGTTTTTCCCATCCATTTTATGGTCAGTTTTAAGTTTTTTATTCACAGTAGTTACACTTTCATTTCTCCGTTTTTTATTATCATCATATTTAGATGAGTCACTTGCATTGCCACCTTTTTTAATTTCCTTTTTTTCTGCAACAACACTGTTTTTACATTTGTCACATAGGACTTGTCTGGGTCGTAGTTTGATAGCATTCATTATAGAAGTGGGCTCCTCCCTGTACATTTTCCTTTTGGGTCGTTTAATTTTCCGAGGAGGAGGCTGAGGTATTGATTGGTTATACGTGTCCCTGATAAACAAAGGGGGAGGATAAGGTGCTCCTTCATGAAAGAGAGGAGGTGGTTTAGAAGTCCACAGGCTTTTAGCAAGGCTAGGTTCTGGTGGCTGAATGGGAGAACGGTCATCAGGACCAGCACCATTCAAGTCACACTTGATTTCTGTTCCTTCTTGGAATGATCTATTGTGGAGCTGCATGGCTTCAGGTTTATCTTTGTATTCTCTTTTGGGGAAAATTGTCACAGGGATTCCATGGGGCCCAAACCTTTGGGGGGAAAAAAGAAATAATTAAGTTAATACTTAAGGGGACAGAATGCAACTTCTCAAACCTACATTTTAACTTAAAATGGTCAGTCCTGGAAGCTATAACAAGAAGTTTTTTTAAAAATGCAATTATAAGCAAGAATCCCTTTCTTACTTATTCATTAAGGGGAAAAAAAATAGCTGCTCATTCTAACACCACCCTCCCTTCCCTCCACATGTCACCTCATTTTCCTGTGCATAGCTAGCTAAAAAATATTCAGACTTCTCATGTTACTACAAAATTTAAAAACCTTTAAGCAGCATTTTAAGGTGATTTATATTGTAAATAGTTCCCCTTCCACAGCAATGGTGCCTAACTTTAAAATTTTGTGCTATAATGGAGAATTACATTCACTGATTAAGCAGGAAATATGGCTCTAGAAGTATAACTACAAATTTAAGAAATATCATCTAAAAGCCTTATCATTTCACTATAATATTTCCAAGATGATTATGCCTTTGACTACTCAAAACAAATCAGAGAATTCAGTCACAGTTTGCAAGTTTTCTAAATTAAGTCCCTTAATCGCATAAAATACTTAATGATCGACATAAAATATTTAACCCTGTGATTACATGACTATAACAGAAAATCAGAAATAACTACCTCTAAGCAGGGATATAAGCCCAAACCTCTGAATATGAATTCAGTCCAACGTGCTAACGTGCCTCCCTAATTAAACAAAAATTAAACCTTCAGATACCAATGGAAGGCAATTTTATATATAGTACATTATGATTTTGAGATCCTTGGACATCAAATATCATGACTTCCAGTCCCACCCATTCCACACCCTGTACCACGCCCCCCCCTTTTTACTCTCCTCCATTTAGAAAAACTGGAAAGTATGGGTCTAATCACAACAAATACTATGACAACCAAAATCTCTCTATGGGGGAAAAGTCTGTTTCACTTTTTCAAAGCAATATTTGATACAATAGCTAGTTTTATATATCACTTAGAGATATGCAAAGCACTTTATATACATTATCTTGCTTTAGCTTCACAACAACTCTATGAGCTAATAAGTATTTCATGGTTATTAGTCCTCCTTTTAAAGGAGGAAACCTAGGTTCCATGGTATTAAATGATTTGCCATGATTTACAGTGCTCCAAAGGCCTAACACTATAATGTTGTACCTCTCAACGAACCTCCATAATAAAAGCATTCTGAAAAGTATTTTGGATACCTTAGAGTTTGTTATATCAGAGCTTAATCTTTCTTACTTGCCATTCATACAATTCACACATGGATAAAAATACTCCAACCTTGAAATTTGGCCCTCACCTACACGTTTTTGACTTTTTAGTCAATAAACATTTTTAAGTGCCTAGTATATGCCAGGCACTGTGCTAAGTGCTAGAAATATAAATACAAAAAAGAAAGACAGTCCCTGCCTATATAATGGGGAAAGACAACACAAAAAAAGGAACTTAAGGGGGGGAGGGGAAATTATTCTTGTCCACAGCCAAAACTGGAGAGATACCCAAATGAACCTGCTGACTAAATCTAACACCAAAAAAGTGAAAAGGTTGTTTATGAGGCCTTGTTTAAGCCTGGTCCACCAAACTACCTGGTTAAAGTCCTGATGTCTTCAAATGAGAGCACTATAGCAAGCCATTATATATATCATGTCACATGGCAAAATGGAATCTGGAATAGGTGGTCATAGTCTGGGTATCTGTTCCTCAAGATATATTCCCCTGATTGTAATCTTACCAATTAATCTTTTCTCTTCCACCATTTTTTATAAGGAATAAGCAAAGTGCTACAATACATTCCTCATAGTAGGTATTTAAATATATAGAAGGTAGAAGGTTTTTAATTTTCTGACTACATTAAACAATAAGATTCACTCGTGAAAAATGGACTATAAAATCTTTATATTTAAATTTCTAAAATATATTTAAGCCCTAACTTTATATTTTGGGTCCGAGTACAACAATGGAATGAAATTCAATAAACTTTCACATTAGCTGTCATTTACTCGCGATTAAGGATGAAAATGAATGAATAAAACTTTAATAGTGTTTTTCCATGTTCATAAAAGCAAAAAAATAGTATGGGCAGAACTCTGGGGAGTTATTTTTCCTAAAATGCCTAAGTTATCCTTTTTAAGATCTTGTGAGCTTTCTTCCAATGGATATTTTGATATTAAGATCTTTTCCATATTATACACTTTTACTCTTTTATCCCGAAGGTAATCTAGCCAATGATTTTTAGCCATGAAATCCATAAAATGATCTATGCCATCGTAGGGTTTCTGCAGTAACACCGTTATTATTCAAAACAACTTTCCCTAAGCCCCAGTTTTCCCATGTCACTAAATTTAATGTGAAAAGTTATTAGTTTTGTAGTGTTCCATTAAAGAAATAAATAGGTACTATATAACTAAATATATCACTTGTATTACTAATATGTGGAAATGATAACCTACATTTACCTCTTTAAAAAGCACTGTATATACCATCTCAAGTTGATATTCAAAATAAGACTAACAGGCAGCAGGTCAATTATTATTGCCTTCATTTTACAGACAAATTAAGGTTCAGAGGTAAATAAGGTCCTTCTTTCAGTATATCATGCTCCCCTCTTATTCCTAAGGTATTTTATAAAACCAAAATGTTGCCCATTTTGTAGTACAAAAACTATACATGTTACCTATTCTCAGGGTAATTACTAGTATATCATGTGTTCATTATAGGCAAATGATTCTATGGAACCATTAACTCAACTTTCAAGATTTCTAAAAATCATATAAAAGGGAGGAGGGAGGACCTCCTAATTTCTCTGAAATAACACAATCCTAAAATTAGCTTAACAGTCTAATCCTTTTCATTTAGAATAAAAATAGAAGCTTATTATCCATAATTCTAAGGACACAAACATTCAAGTAATGATAATTTTCCTATTTTTAGACCTTTTCCCATGTGGTCATTCACACCATAAGAATGAGCATATGACTGGATTTTCCAAATTACAATACATAAAATGGTTCAAATACCAGCCTACTGAGACAAAATTAATCTGAGTAAATGAAGAGATGCTTATTAACAGAATGGCAACTGAAGATATATAGAAAAGTTCTGATTTGTGTCAATGGACGGAGCATTCACAATAAAATTACCATCTCTTTCAAACTATTAAAGTGGAAAACAACATTTATAAAGCCCTTCCTTCTCAACCACTCTGACACATAAGTAGCCCAAATATCATCATCCCCATTTCACAGACAAAGGAACAGACACAGAGAAGAAGAACAGACACCTTGCCCTGGGTCTTACAGCCAGTGTCAGAGTCAGGACTTGAACCTCATTTAGTCTGATGACTCCAAGACCAGCAATTTCCAGTTTCTCCACAAAGTCATGCTGTTAATATCCTTGAAAAGCATATTAAAAGCTTAATAAAACAAAAAAAGCACTAATTCAATTTAGTGTAATTATCATTAAGTACCAACTACGTTCAAGGCACTATTATAAGGTCAAGAAACCTAGCTTTCTACTGAGAGGCACAATCTTGGTATCAGTAAATAAGCACAAAGCAATTTCAGAAAAGAGCAAGTACACGATCTGGAGAACTCAGAAAAAAGCTTCCTATAGGAAGTGGTGCTTAAAGTGAGCTTTGAAGATAGCTAAATATTCTAAAAGGCAGAAAGAGGGGGAATAGTCCAGGTGCTAGGCCTGTACCAAGCCCAGACTCTGCAGAAAGAATGCTCAGGAGAATCCATGGAGGCCATTTTAACCCGAGTGTAGAGGAATAACATGAATTAAGTCTCAAAAGCCAGGCTGTGAAAGGCTTTAAATGCCAGGCTGAGTTATCCTAGAGAAAAGGAAACCACTTAAGATTTTTTTAATGGAGGAGTAACCTGCAATTTAGTAACATTCATTTTTCAGTAGTGCATAGTATTGTGCATTGCATAAAGGCTAGACTTTGAATCAAGGAACCCAATGAAGGGGTTACAGTACTAGTTCAGGTAAAAAGTAAAAACAAAATTGATTCTGGGTTACTGGATATGTAAGTAGAAACAGAAAGGAATACATGGAGAAAGAACATGTAAGCTTTAGCAACTGACTGGATATATGGTCTCTGAAGAAATTGCTCAAAAACAGTAATTTTAATAATGCTAAAATTACCCGAGTATCAAAATTAACTATGTTTTCAATTTGAAAAAAATTTTTTTAGTGAACTCACCTAGTTTCCCCTGCACATATCATTTACAAACCCAATGACCAAATATAAGAAAGAGGTTTAATGGTAATCTTCCCAAATTACATAGGACTGGAAAAGACTGACCTATTTTGCCAGCAGCTAAGTTTTGCTTCATCTTTATAAGGTCAAAATTAAGTGTGTTGTATAATATGAACATCATTTAATTATTTAAGTTGCATAGAAAGCTCTAGAAGGAATGCCTTCTAAATCCAAATAGGACCCTTAACAATCATATAAACTATAACTCAAAAGACAAAGCATTACCAGGTTGTCTAAGTACCGTGGATTAGATCATTCCAGAGATCTTTATATTAAAGACATTCAACAGAGTATTTATAACTACAAATAGTAGTTTTTAAAAACATTTTATAACCTCCTAAAAACAGCAATTCTTTTTTCTACAGTGTTCCATTTTAGGACAAATGGTAAAATAATGGCAAGGCAGACATGGTTAAGTGCTTAATATAGGTCAAATTTCCTTCAGCTCTACTTGTAACATAAGATGAAACATACCCTTGGGGTTTCTGTTGTTCCTAAGCTATCTTGTACTTTAGGCAGCATTTGTCTTCTAGTAGAGCCTATATTCAGAGAGGGAAGGCTTATATGGCTAAGGGACACTTTGTAACAAAGCTAGAGGTAAAGGCTAGAAGTGATAGGCAAGGCAAAGAAAAGGAATAATAAATCTATGGGAAAATGAGAAAAAAAAGGGAATGAAAAATGATTAAGCAGTATATGCTATGTCAAATTAAAA